AAAAGACGTTTGTCCAGGTAGTGTAGAAGAGCTGGGCAGAGTGCAGGGCTTAATTACCGTGTGGGACAAAAGGCACACATCAGAGAGACAGCTGCGAATTGAGAAGAGAACTGGGTTCTGGGCAAAACGAACAGGTCCACAGGAGAAAGAAAACCAGTGGCTGGATTTGGCTGCCAGGCACCCCTGGGACCTGGCGGCCATCTGGCAGGAGCAGAGGAGGTCTCTGGGAGGCGGGGGGGAACGGGTCCCGCTGCAGGCGAGAGGCTGGCCGGCCCCTCCGGGGCTCGGGGGTGGCGAGCTGCTGGAGTCACTGTCCAGGGGCCGCGGCCCGCTCAGATACTTGCTGGCTGAGCCCAGATCGCCGCAGGCCGCAGGCCGTCGGTGGCGCGCGGTGGACGGCGGCGGCAGCGCGGGTCTCCCGGCAGCGCGCTGCAGGCCTGGCGGTCAGTCTGGCGGAGGCGGCCCGCGGCGGCCGGGCTGTGGGTGGTCTGCCCGGCGTGTAACGGGAGCCCGGCCCGCAGCTGGAGCGCGGGCCCGAGTCCAAGTGCGCACGGGAGGGGCCCGGCTGGCCGCAGAGGGCGGCGGCGCGCTCCGGAGCGGGGCCCGGAGGCAGCGGCGGGGACCCGGAGCGCTATTCCTGGAACAAAGGCAAGCACTACGCGGGAGGGGACAGCAGCGCGGGGGAGAGCGCGGCCACTCGAGCGCGGCGAAGGTGAGGGGGGGAGGCGCGGCGGGGCGACGCCCGCGGCCATCTGGGCGGCGGCGACGGGCGCAGCGGACCCTCCCCCGAGCACCCGCCCCCGGGCCCGAGGGGCTCCCGGCCTAGAAGTCCTCGTCCTCCACCCAGCCAAAGACCCGCTTCATCTCGGCCAGGAAGCCCCGGTAATCATTGAGGAGGGGGCTCTCCTTCCTGATGTAGGGGATCACCCACTGCAGGGCCGGCCCGGTGAGGCGGGTGATGAGGAACGTCACCTTCAGGGCATCGCTGGAGAACAGGGTCTCGTCCACTAACATGTAGGCGCCCGTCTGCACGATGAACTCCGGGAGCCGGTCGGTGTCGCCGTCAAACGTCTCGGGGAAGGGGATCGGGTTCCTCCACCGCCGGGTCTGGGGCCGCAGGGGCAGGGCCAGGAGGGCCTTGATCAGCTGCACTCGGCCGTCCATCGCGCCGCGCTCGCGCTCGCGCTCGCGCTCCCTGGGCTCGGCCGGGCTGGGCGGGGCTGGGCTGAGGCGGGCGGGGAGGCGTGGCGGGAAGTGCGTGTGCGCGGGGGCGGGCCCGGGCCAGAGGGGCGTGCCCTGCCAGGGCTCCGCCCACGGTGCCGGATGGTCGCTAGGGCGCAGGCGCAAATGCAGGGTGGGTGCGCAGGCGCGACACGGGGTTGGGGGGCCCTAGGGCTGGAGCTGAACGGGGAGGGGCAGGCCTAAGGACTGCAAGCGGAGGGGAGGTCCGAGTGGAGGGGCGGGGCCCAGGTTCCCGAGGAGAGCGGAAGGCGAGGGGTGGGGCCAGGGGCGGGGCCCAGACGCGTGTCTTCTTGGTGAGGGCGGATCAGCTGCACGTGGAGGGGGGGAAGTCCTTGTGTTAAAGAGCTGAGGAGTGCCCCTTTGTATATCCTGTGTGCCGGCAGTGCACCTGTCCTTGCGTTTTCTTAGCCCACCTTCGATGATGACACTTTGGAATATTATAAGTGAGTCATTTTGCTAAATGTCCCTCTGCCTTTGCTTTGGTTATTTTTGTCACTTAAAAGATACTGTGTCTCTCAAAATAGATCATTGGGCTGGTAATATCAATATACGTTATTACTGATGATGTATACCATGATAACTCGTTACATGCTGTGTTACAAGATCTGAGGAGCTGTATAGTATGACTTCTGCCTGCATCCATTCAGACTTTTCAATAAAAGCGTTCTACCAGTGCAATTAAATGTATTTCTAGCCTCCAAAAGTTCCAAGATGCTCTCTATGAATTTTATCTATTCCTTAATAGTAGAAAATGAAAGATGTCAAATATAGTTTCAGTTTCTCTTGGAATGATCACATGGATTTCTCTCTCTCTCTCTTTTTTTTTTGAGAAGGAGAGAGAAGCGGACGAAGGCGAAGGCGCAAAGGCAGAGGGATAGAGAGAATCTTAAGCAGGCTCCACGCCAAGCGCAGAGCCCAACCAGGGTTCAGTCTCACAATCCTGAGATCATGACCTGAGCTAAAATCAAGAGTCAGATGCTTAACCAACTGAGCCACCCAGGCACCCCCCTCTCTTTTTTAAAAAATATCTTATTTATTTATTTGTTTCTTTATATATTTATGTACTTATTTATTTTTAAAGAGTTTATATATTTATTTGAGAGAGAGAATGAGAGAGAGAGAGAGCACATGAGAGGTGGGAGGGTCAGAGGGAGAGGCAGCCTCCCCGCTGAGCAGGGAGCCTGATGCGGGACTCGATCCTGAGACTCCAGGATCATGACCTGAGCCGAAGGCAGTCGCTTAACCAACTGAGCCACCCAGGCGCCCATCTGTAGACTACATTCTTATTCTTGGTTAGTATAGCAAATTACATGTTTGATTTTCTTTTTTTAAGATTTTATTTATTTATTTGACAGAGAGAGACACAGCGAGAGAGGGAACACAAGCAAGGGGCATGGGAGAGGGAGAAGCAGACTCCCCACCAAGCAGGGAGCCCGAGGCGGGGCTCCATCCTAGGATCCTGGGATCATGACCTGAGCCGAAGGCAGCCACCTAAGGACTGTACCACCCAGGCGCCCCACATGTTTGATTTTAAATTAAGAAGACAGCCTTGCCGCGTCTTCTTCCTGCCTTGTCTTCGGCGTTTTTGTTCTCAGAGCTGCCGATAGCAAGATGTCTTCAGGAAATGCCAAAATTGGGCATCCTGCCCCCAACTTCAAAGCCACAGCTGTTATGCCAGACGGCCAGTTCAAAGACCTTAGCCTATCTGACTACAGAGGAAAATACATTGTGTTCTTTTACCCTCTTGACTTCAGCTTTGTGTGCCCCACGGAGATCATTGCTTTCAGTGACAGGGCAGAAGAATTTGAAACTCAACTGTCAAGTGATTGTTGCTTCTGTGGATTCTCATTTCTGTCACCTGGCATGGATCAAGAAAACAACCTTGCATTCCTGAGATAGACGTCATTTAATTTTGGTGTAGTATTTTTTAATACATTACTAGATTAGGCAAATGGACAAATAAATTGTGGTATATTCATACAGTGGAATTCTAGACAATATTTTAAAAGAAGCTACTAGTACAGCAATATCGATGACAGCTATAGAAAATATATTCAGTACAAGAAGTGAGTACAAGAAAGTATAGAAGTTTATGATTCCTTTTTATATCAATGTCAAGAATGGGCAAAACTAATGCTTGTAGAATTCAGAATAGTGGTTTTCTCAAGAGAGGGGAAATTATAGTCTTCAGAGTTGCATGAAGGATTCTAATGAGATGCCAATAATATTGTCCAAAGCAGCTCTACTATTCTGTATTGCCACTGGCAATGTATGAGATTAATATGTTCTTCAAACTCAATGACACATAGTATTGTCAATTTTGGTTTGTTCTGTTTTGTTTTTACTTTGTTCTGTTTTGTTTTTCCTTTAGCCTGTCTAACAGGTGTGAAGTGGTAACTCATCGTGGTTTTAGTTTGCAATTCCCTAATTATTAATATTAAACATCTTTTTTGTGTGTGCTTACTTGCTACACATATCCCTTCTTTTATGAAGTCTCTGTTCAAATATTTTGTCCGTTTTTAATTGGGTTGTTTGCTTTTTTATTGTTGACTGTTGAGAGTTATATCTATCTATCTATCTATATATATATCTCCTGTATTCAGGTCTTTTTTTTTTAAAGGATTATATTTATTTATTTGAGAGAGAGAGAGAGCGTGCCTGCACACACCCACTAGTCAGGGGGAGGGGAAGAGGGAGAAGCAGAGAGGGGAGAAGCCGACTTCCTGCTGAATAGGGAGCCCGATGCCATGGCTGGATCCCAGGACCCTGGGATCATGACCTTAGCCAAAGGCTGACCCTTAAACTACTAAGCCACACAGGCGCCCCTCCTGTATTCAAGTCTTAATCAGATATGTGATTTACAAATATTTTCCCCTACCCTGTGCCTTTTCTTTTATTTATTTATTTATTTATTTATTTATTTATTCTTTTCTTTTAATTCTCTTAAAAGTTCCTGGATATTATACGAAAACAATGAATCATGTAACACTACATCAAAAACTAATGATACTGTATGGTGACTAACATAATAAAATAAAATCTAAAAAAAACTGCTTTTTGAAGAACACCAGGTTTTTAATTTGATGAAGTCCAATTTACCTAATTTTCCTTTTATGCATTGTTTCTGGTGTGGTAAGTAAGAAATCCTCGCTTAATCTGAGGTTGCACATGCTTTTTCCTGTTTTCCCCTAGTTTTATAATTTTAGGTTTTACCATTAGAACTATGAATCATTTTGTGTTAATTTTTAAAAAGACTTTATTTATTTATTTGAGAGAGACACAGAGAGAGCACACGCAGGGGAATAGGCAGAGGGAGAGGGACAAACAGACTCCTCCTTGGCCTGTGACTTGCTTGACCTACAGAAGGCGGTGGAAGGGACACTGTGGGATTTCAGGGCCTCATCAAGGAGACTGTGAAGCTTCCATTCTTGTTCTCCTGGAGCCCTGAGACCTCCATGTCAAGAAGCCTGGGAGCCTAAATCTCCGGGGAGCTGTGAAATATAGAGACTCCCGAGCCACACTGTAACCGGAGCTACTGAGCAGGAGGCCAGGCTAGGCATGTTCACCCCGGAGCCCCGGCCTAAAGCTACCCTGGAAAATCCTGACCTGTTATCTGGATCTGGCACAAAGGAGCAAAGACTCTTGGCCCTGTGCTCTGCAGGGCCCCATATTGCTGGCAGCTGGGCAGTGACTCAGAGTTTTCCAGGAGGGCAGAGAGAAGACCCCAAACCCCAGCTTCATGTAAGCAGTCCACAAGCCCTCCTCAGGGTGGCGAGGTGCAGAGCTGGGGCTGGGCTCTCTCCACTACGTCCTCCAGACGGCCTATTGCCATTTTCTGGATTCTTGCTCTCTGTCAAAGCTGTCCTGCAGGTTTACTCTCACCGGAACTCCATTTTATAAATGCATGCGTGAGTAGGCAGGGCTGAGAGGAAGGAAAGAGTAGGCATGGGGGTCAGCCCAGGCTCTGCCCTGCCTGAAACTCGGCCTTGACCCTCACAACCCAGGAGAGGTAGCCCTACCCATCTTGGCCCACAGGACCCGGTCGGCTCTGTTCTGGGGGCTCATGCTCGGGGTCCTATCCCGCTGAAGCCTCATGGTCGACCACCAACGGCTACATACGCATCTTCTAGATGCCACGTGTCGCCCCGATGGCACAAAGAGAGCACGTCCCAAATGAAAACGACTGAGGAGAAAATGAATACACTGGATGCATCGACAAGGTGGGACTGTGGCCGTGTTTTCTTTCTCCAACAATTCCCGTCCTTGCCTTTACTGGGAAGTTAAACTGCTGTTGAGGGTGTTAATTGGCCCAACACACGGGGAACTCTTCGGCGCTATCTACCAAAGCTACACATAAGCCTCCCCTGCGACCTAGCCATTGTAACTCCGAGTTCTCGAGACTTAACAGAAGTACGTACAGCTGCTCAGGAAAAGCTGTGCGTGAGAACTGACTTTGTAGAGCCACAGGGAAGAAGCAGAGAGCCTAGTTAGGAGGCTGTTAGAATAATCCAGGAGAGTGGTAACGGGAGTCTGGACAAGGGTAGTTAACAGTGGGGATGCAATGAAGCCGTCAAGAGTCTGGCTGTAGGTTGAAGGCAGAGCCGAGGATTTGCCGATGAAGTTAATGTGGGGCCTGAAAGAAACAGAGGAGTCAAGGAAGACACCAACGCGTTTGTCTTGAGCAGTAGAAAGGAAAGAATTACCCTTTACTAAGGAGGGGAAGACAGGGGAGGAGCAGGTTTAGGAGGGGGAAAAAACAAAGGCTTGAATAAAACCTTCATGAATACTAAATAATTCCATTGATTTCAAAGAGTAAACCAATAAAATCAGTGAAACTAAGTTTCCCTTAAATGTTCCAATATATCAGCAATACATAAACTTAGTAGGAGCTCTACTTAAAATTCCAACTCCAAACCCATTATTTGATTACATATTTTAAATTGGAACATCAGGAGCCACATCACGTTTGGGCCAAGCTGTCGTGGGCGTGCGGGA